CGCGTTGCGGAGCACGTAGGACACTAGGAGGTTCTTGTGCAGCTTGATGCCACCGCGCTGGGTCCGGGAGCTGTGGATCTTGCGCAGGGAGATGCTGATCAGGCTCTGGGCGTCCAGGGCGCACTCCATGCTCCCGTGGAGAGGCGAGCGGCGGAGCAGCCGCCTTTGCTGCTGCTAATGTTGCTGCTGCGTGTACCTCCAGCTGGTCTCCGGAGCGCACTGTGCACAGGGAACCAAGCCCGGGTCAGCGGGTCGGCGGCGCTCTGAGAGAAGCCGCCACCATGCGCTGCACCGCACCCGCAGGCTCACGCTCCCCAGACGGCGCCAAAGCAATGAGCCTCGGCCGGCCCCGGCCCCAGCTATTTAGCTGAGCAGCAGCGCCCCGCCCCACTGCAAATTAGCCAATAGAAGGTTTCTGAGCTTCCCGAATGACAGCCGCTTCCCGCCCCGGGGCCACTTAGCTGACCAATCAGACCAAGGCGGTTCCTTTGTGCTATTCAAATACCGAACGGACCCCGGGCCTCCAACGCCGCTGCTGCCTCGAATGTTCTCCTGGGGCCGCGGCACCGCGTGGGACTCGGAGCCTCCTAGGTAGGAGCCCACAGCGTCGGTCGTCTCTCGGGAACCACGTTGAGGACTGCGGCTACCCTGGACCTGGCTCCCACCAGCACCTGAGCGCCGCGGAGATGGCTCCGCCCCCTTCCGCACCGTTGGGCCTCACCTGCAGCAGGTGCGCGCGGTTCCCCGCTCCGGGCCACGCGGCGCCTCCTCTTTCTCACCTGCTAAGGCCAGGGGAATCTGGGAGAGGTGAGCCTTCTCCCGAGAAAGCTGGTGTGTGTTTGGGGGGCTGGGAAGCGCAGCTGGGCACTAGTGAACCCGCATGGAAGAGTTTGGGACCAGATTCCCTGATGTTTTAGACCAGGGGCCTCTGGGAATGGTCGGGGAAGGTTCCTCTGACTGCAAACCCCAGTGAATTTGGATCTCTAGAAGAGAAGCTTCGTCGTCCTAAGCCAGCCGGGGTGGGGGTGGGGTGGAGGTAGGGGAACGCACCCCAGCTTCCTCCTCACCTTTGGGTAACCACTTCTTTCCTGCCTCACTAATATCAATGACAATAGAAGCACTTACTGTGTGCCTAGCTAGGGCCCCTTATCAGAAAGGTTTGAATCTCTCTCTCTAAGGTTCTCTGGGCCCGGTCCTGAGACCCACTTGAGTGGGACAACCTGTAAAGATTTGGTCAGAGTCCTGAGCCCCAGGAGTACCCAGGTCAAAAACTCTTCGTCATATATGTCCTTGTTCTGAGTTATCCACCGACCAGTGGGGACAGGATAAGGATTCCTGGTAGTCTCTGCCGAGAAGCTTACTGAGGAAGAGGGTTGCTGCGGCGGGGGTTGGGAGGTGGGTGAGGGGTTGGGGCTGGGGCTGGATTCACAATGCTCAAGGCTTCTTGAAGTGCTTCAGTCAGGAAACTGGCCCAGGAAGGGTCCAGGGCTGGATCCCTGAAGGACAAGCAGTGTCCACAGAGACAACCGATGACCGATGGGATGGATCTTGTAGGGCTGGTGTGGAGGCTCTTCTGACACTCGCTGTCTTTGGACCCTCTCAGTACCTCTGTCTCTTGGCTGGAGTCAAAGACACCCCACCCTGCTGTCCTGGTTGCTCTTTATAGGCGAGGACACAGTGATAGTTGTCTTTAAGGTTGTTTTTAAGGTTTTGCATCTTCTTAAAGGTAAATTGTCAAAAAGTAGGGGACAGTTTGCTCAGGTTTTCCGATGAGGAAGTTGAGGCACTAGCGATGACGAGGCTTGGCCCAAGACCACAGGGCTCCCCAGGCACAGGCTCTGCTTCTTCCACCAGAAGGTGCCCCTGGGCAGTCACCTCTCCCACCCCTGCTTCAAAGGGTCAGGATTACATTTGGGGAGTGGGGTGGTGCACTCTTGACTGGCATCCTACTGGCCATGTGGCGATCCACACACCCCCCCCCCACCTCCTGAACACCTGTCTCAAAGGTGTACAGGCTACAGTGGCAGAGTGGAATGCTTTATCCCACTCCATAGCTGGGGATGGGGGAGGATAAGCTGGAATCATGGGACTTTGGCCCACAGTGTGTGCTGTCCTTTCCCAGTATTTACTGAAGAAACTTGAGACTTGAGGTCACAGAGTCAGAAAGGGATGGTGGCAGGATTTGAACCCTGTTCTGTAGGTGCTTGAAAATATGCCAGTAGAGCCAGGTCCAGTTCTTTGGGTCTAACTCCTGATGAATGATTTGATGCCCTCAAAGTGTGTGTGTGTGTGTTTGCCAAGCTCCAGGACCAGTACTCTTCACAGCCCCTGGGCTGCAAACCTCTGCTTGGGCACAAAATGGTTCCGCAGAGTGCGATAGAGACCATTCAGGACTCTGTGTGTGTGTGTGTGTGTGCGCG